AGTTGCGACTTCCAACCCATTAATGATGCATATGGCAACTGAATGGATGTGAATGTGGTAGAACAGAACTGGAAATAATAATACTGGCAAAAAGATTTGGGCACGTTAATGTGACTTGTTACTCTTCATAGTGCTGGAGAGTACATGTCAACATATCCATTTAGCTCGAAAAGGTCGATATTTGAGGAAAGTCACATGGATTATGTAGGGATGTCCTGAGTCGCCACGCCGTTGCAAAAATCACAGAATTGAGTGGACGAGTGTGGCATACACATAAGCATCAAACAGGTCGAATGAAGGGAGAGAAGTCAACCTGAATATCGTTAGTACGAGGGCGGAGGTAATTTGCTTGGGCGCCATTGAGGGGAACTAGCATAATAACCACCTATAGCGCAACTTACGAGAAAAATTAGCAAGGATTTACAATTGCGTGTGCAAGAGCGCCCCCTGCAACACATGCAGCTATGCAAATCAGTTCCGCCCAAGATTTTGCATATTTTGTGACCCATAGGGCTGTGGAATCATTGAAAGCACATCAGTGTAGTCAACCTATTCATGAAAAATAAGTGTAATGTCTGGTCTCTTATGCCCTCCTGGAGGTATGCATCTGCCAAAATGTCACACTGTTGGTGCCTGTCGACTTTTTGCTTACCCATACCAATGTTGTCTGCGCTAAACTTGAGTCACTTGGGCACATTTACTTCATTTTGGAAATCCATCAGTCCTATAAGTTCCAAAATAACGAAAAGCTTCGTGACGAATAAATTAAGTTGCAGTTACCTGAGTTATAGCAACTGATAAAGACATCGTGATATATTTATCAATTAGACTGACTACGGGAATAAATGGTTGCGCTCCTGGGTATAAAACAGTACAAAATTTCCTTCTATCTTAAACATAATAAAAAATGACTTATAATGGCACAACGACTGCTAAAGTGTAATGATCCTATTCCAGGAGAAAAACAGTTATAGTGTTAAATACCTTCAATGCAACAGTGGAAAGCATTTGTGAAATGGCAAAACTCACGCTCATGTGCACTCAGCCAACCAACATAGTGAGAGCACTAAGAGCAGGCTGTCAGCGTCTCAATGCTCCCGCCTGTGGCTTCAATCGATAGTGTATTGATTACCAGCTAATGCGTTATCTGCACCACCATTAATCGGATAAATCGATATGAGGAACTACAGCTACCCTATTAGAGGGCTATGGGAGTAGGGTCAAAAACAAAGCATCACATAAAGTTTTGTGCAGTCGATGAGCCATGGCGCATAAATTTGCCGCAAGAACGGCTTCAGGTGATCTCGAAAGTTCCCTTTTTGTGTCTTGGAGACTAGCAACATCTGCGCTTGTAAAGTAGATAAGTAGATAGATTCGGAAATGTTTGACTATGCTTTTTGACATCATTGAATCCTCTTTCGATGGTTTACCCATCGCTACATTCTTTGATTTGTATGACAATAGTTGTTGAATGTTGTCAATACGGCATGACAAGAAGCTTACGATAAACGGACTTAGGTGTTGTTTAGTTTTAGCAATTTGAATAAGCAAACTTTAATCAGTTATGAATGTTGTAGACTGCCTGAGCTACCACACAATTTACTCTACTGCTTTTGCATGAACGCTATCGAAAGATTGAGTATTGGTAACATTCACCTATCATAAGTCCACCCTCATACATAAACATAGGATAAAACCATTTGCTTGCAACGCAAAAGTTGCTTCTTTGCTACATAGTTTTAGATTATAAACGGGCAGATGCTTATGGGAAAATTCACGAGTATTTTGGATGTAGACTGACCCAAGTGGGACTTTCAATCACTTAATTTTTTCATTTGCATGGCTGTTATTGGGATCCTTATTTGGGATTAAGATCAAAGTGTTGCGCTTAAGTTGCTAAAAGCTCATTTTTTCGAATGCATGCTTTCAAAGTTTATTATAAATGCACGAAAAGCATAGATCCAAAGAAACGCAAAAAGAGCAATTGGATTAGCTTAAACTTTTTCGATAAAGTCCTTCTCCTGATGTACAGCTACATTGTGCTCGCCAATTCGGGTAAAGAGTTTGATCAACTTGTGAGGCAGACTGCTCTTTTGAACAGTGGCTACCGCCTCCGTAGACGTACTACCCTTAGTTGGGCTGTGTATGGAAGCATCGCTGGTGTTTTGTGACGTTTCTGAGACTTTTTGCTCTGGTTCCATCATGATGGCCTCCTCCTCAACATCAGAGTTGCTCCTCTGCACCAATCCTATGATATTTAACACCATAGCCTCTAGCAAGCGTTTACCCATTTCTACCCCTTCTTGCGAGAGCGGATCTTCCCCAGGGTTCAGCCGAAAGGTGATTTTACCCTTGCCATCCTTTTTAGAGTTTGGATCATCATAAATGAAGGGTTTTATGTCCAACATTAGAGACTGATCAGATATAACTGAAAGCCAATCGAAAATTTGCTTGCCCTGATGCCCTCTACTCTCGAGGAGCTGAGTAATCAATTTAACGGGAAGGAAGGGGAACCTCAAGGGAGACTGCAGAGTGATTTGATGCTTAGCCTCGTGGCAGTCGAGGATGCGACAGAGAGTAACAATAGGCAGTTTCGCCTCATAGAACGAGTAGAGGACATCGAGATCCTCCTCGAAAGCAGGAAACCTCTCAACCGAAGGGGGTTCCGTGAAGGTACTGATTACCTCCTCAGGAGGCTCCCACTTGCTCTGGTTCTCATCCTCGGTAATGGTCACAACGGGCCCGACTGTCAAAAAGGCGGGGAGACATTGATTCGGTTCACAAAATTGCTGGTCGCAAAGACCGCAGTTACACCAAGACTTCCCTCCATGCGCAACTATTATGTGCACCTGAAGCGATGTAACACACCATTGGTGTTTCATGTCAGTAAGTTTTAGTTGCTGTGTCGATTAAAAAAAGCAAACTTTAAAATAGGTAATTCATCATTTCTAAAACCATATTGTAACGATGCTTGAATTTTGATAACATTTTAAGGACACCGAGTTGAAAAACTAACGTCAAATCGGAGCATTCAGGCTCACATTTGGTTAGCTAACCAAAAAGGTCTGGAAACAGGGATTGCTGCTTAATTTTACGTGTAGTGCATTGCTTGACATAATAGCCTGATATAAGGATAAGCTAAACCTGCCTGTAGTTTATAGACTGAGCCAAACATAGTGAAGCACTCTGTGCACAGTCTATCAATATCCAGCACCCTAACCATTTCTCCAACATCTGCGAGATGTTGTACGCGTTTTCGCGTCTCAGGAACATGGAATTCTTCTATGTGCTTTGTTAGGCCTTCTTCATTTTCATAATCATGCAAACAGACGCGACATGTGGCTTTGGAGGGTCTGAATTGTTTGTTCCAACCACCACGGAGAAATAAAGTCTTTCGCTCCCCGTCTGCTGATCTATCTGATTGGTTTGATTGTGGGATTCTCGACTTTCCAAAAGCACCCAGCACAGAGCCTACCATGAGTTCCCGTATACTGGGTCCGGGCAGTCCTCTCTCAACTGCATCGAGCTGCCTCAACTCGCTGGAGTTGAGTTCTTTGCCTTTATCACGAGA